AAACAGAAGGGAAGAGGGTGTTGCTGAAGATCAGCTCAATGCTGAAGAAAGTAGCTCCTCTGAAGATGACAGTGCTTAAAGTTTGGTGGAGTTGACAAGCCTGATGCTGGTTCCTGTTGATGCAAGTGTTTTCAGATTTTATTTGTTGTTTTTTTTACTCATTTTGGATGACTGTATAACATATAAGTACATGTATCTTTGGCCTATTTGTGGCTAAAGAGGGGGAGATATTTTGTGTTAATTACTTGGTAGACATCATATTTTTTCTGCAGTCATATTCATTCTGCTGCTCTCTATTCTCTGATTGCTTAGGGCTTTTAGCCAAAAATCTGCCAAAGGGGGAGTTTGTAAGTGTTTAGTTATTGACATGTATTTTTGGTAAAACCAGGTGTGTGAATGTCATGACTGATGTCATAACATTCTGAATTATTAGGTACTTTATGCAGAAAAAGTATGGCATACAGTAGCTACTGTTTATGAGTGTGTATCTGAGCATTTTGCAATGATCACATTTATTGCCTTCTACCAAAATCAATAAACAGGAATTCTGATGTCATAACAAATGTTAAGACATCCTGTACTGATCTAACAGTTATGCAGTTTGGTTAATTCTGAGATTTTTCAGGAAGTTGGTTTATTCTTTCCAGAACAAAATCTCACGTGGACTTTGGGTTAACCTAGCTCAACCCTAATCTGGTTGATAAAGTCTTATGACCTAGTCTTGAGGTTAACCATAATTAACCCTAGCTTTTCGTGGAAGCCCTAACTGAAGAAACAGCTGCATATATATTCAACAAGAATGCTGATTGGAAAGCAACTCTTTGACAGAAGATCAATTAGGAGCTGTATAGTTTTAACTGTTGTAATCCAAGCAAGTATCATTTGTGATAAGTGACTTGGAATAGGTTTTGATTGTAAGGGTTTTGTATCACTCAAAGCTTTGAAGCAAGAGTGTTTGTGTCTCTTGACTAAAGCTTTAAAGCAAAGTCAAGTTAGGTTTATGTATCACTCAAAGCTGTGAAGCACGAGTGTTTGTGTTACTTGATTAAAAAGCTGTGAAGCATAATCAAGTGTATGTTCTGAAGAGTGTCTTCATTATTTCATTAGTCAATTGTTTAAGTATCACTGCTGTGATTAAGGGGGAGTGAGTAGGAACTCAGGTTTAAGTTGAACTTAGATTGAAGTTGCATCGGGTAGGTCTTAAGTGAAGGAGATAAACTGGTTGGTTTATTCCTGAATTAATATCTCTTATAGTGGATTTCCTCCCTGGCTTGGTAGCCCCCAGAGTAGGTGTTGTTTCACACTGAACTGGGTAAATAATTGACTGTGTTCTTTACTGTTTTTATTTACTGTCTTATAGACAGTCAGATACGGTGTCATAACATTCACTATGACATTGAGTATCTGCTGCCAGAATTTCATGAACCTCCTGTAATTCTTATGTGGGGATGATTCTTTCTCTGACACACTCTATCATGGGATCTAAATCTATAAAATTGACCTCGTTTTCGTCTAGATATGGTGCAACAATAACAACTATACTTGTTTTCTAACCCTTATTTTATCTTCATAACATCTTTTAGTGATATCTTGATCCTCTTGGATCACACCAATATGACCATTTAGAAATAGATATTTCATGCATAGGTATAGCATTGATAAGGAGGACCTAAAAAGGTTAAAGGCGATCTCCCAATGATAATGTTTTATGCCCTTGATCACACCAATACGACCATTTCGAAATAGATATTTCATGCATAGGTGTAGAGTTAATAAGTAGGACCTAAAAAGGTTAAAGGAGATCTCCCAATGATAATGTTTTATGAGCACGTGGAATTTACCACAAGATTCCTAACCTTGATCATCTTGGCATTATCCTTAAGTCTGAACACCTTATTTAGAGTGATATAACTCTTCACTTGGACCTGTTCGCTTGAGAAAACCACCAGAGAACCTTTGAAGGGATGAATGTCTTGTGGGTCCAATTTTAATATGTCGAAGGCATCCCAACATAGGATGTCCTCCAAACTTCCTGGGTCGATAGATCAACACTCTCTTGATCTCACAGTCATCACATTACACCTTTATGACCATAAGGTCATTCTCATGAAGGAGGATCCATACGGCGTCTTTTTTGGAGAAAAAGATTTTTAGATTAGGGTCATTCTATGAATCTACCTTAGATTTAGTAAACGCGTTTTCTACTTCCATAAATTGGCAAGCATATCACATATGAGAAGAGCTATATTATCCTCCTCCAACAAACCCTCTAGCTATAATGTTTAGAATGTGGCAGACTGATGTGTCCTTCTCTCTCTTCTTGGGCTCCTTGTCTTTCCTAGACCCGAGGTTTTTGGGACGATTACACCCTTGAGTCCTAGAACTACTTCTAGTATGTCGAGAGCCTCCCATGGCATGTTTCTTCAAATTAACCTTTTGTATAAGTCACTCAATTTATTTCTTGAGCTGATAGCAGTCATCAATGTGATGACTCATCACCTTATGATACTTACACCATCTACTGAACTCGAGTCTCATTGTATTTGTCTTGGGGGTTGATGGAGTTGAAATATCATGAGTATAGAGTACCTTACGTCAAAGTTTCTCCTAACAAGTGTTCAAAGGCGTGAATTTATCAATAGACCTCCCACTCTGCTTGGAAGTTGCCCAGTCTTTGACATGCGAGGTATAATGACTCATGCGTTGTTGTTGTGATGAGTCAGATACACCAGAGGTATGTTCCTTGATGTCTCTGGTCTTATTTTCGAAATTGTTCTCCTCGTCATTAATATAAAATTTAGTGCGAGTCATGATTTCATTCATGAAGGTGGTGAGCTTCTGGTCAGGCAACTCATTGAAGTGCTTGACTCTTAAGAAGTTATAGAATGCTTCCACAAACATCTTCTGGTTTGGGTGAATTATCTTGATGTCCAACTTATTGAAATGAGCGAGATACTCCCTCACCGACTCAGACTATGCCTATAGAATGTTTAACAGACTAGTGATGGACACCTTACGATGCTTACTCGTCGAGAATTGGTGGACCATATTTTTGAAGAGATCCGGTTAAATGGTCACTAAGAGACGGGAGAGGTTCGTGAACCATCTCAAGGTCGCCTCTTTGAAAGTGTTAGACAGAATTTTGGACTTCAAGGAATAAGATGTGCTAATGATCACCATTCAGTTGTTAATGGCGATGATATGCTTCAGGGGGTCACTCTTTTCATCGAACTTCACCAATGACGGTGGTTTAAAGTTCTTTGATGTACCATAATGCCCCAAATATCATATGAGAAAGGTTAGTGTCAATGATCTTGTCTTCTACTTGGAAATCCTCATGGTTCCGCTCCCGGAGGATCAAAACGTTCACCTCTAAGGTATGATTGGAGTTACGTGGCTCCTCCATAACAACACACGTCTCTACTAAGGTTTATTGGTCATTGGGACAAGAACTGCTACCTGTGGTGGTGCCTCGTTGATTCACCATGTTGATGTAGGTGGCTGAAACAATTGAAAATTCGCACAAGTATGATCTAGGCCAGCTTTATCGATACCCCATAATGTGCGCGCTAATTGTACTTGTGAAATACAATAAAGATTGATGAGAGTCAACTCACGTGCAAATAACAAGAGATTATGTATATCAGGATTTTGTTAAATTAATGAATAAATCTCCAAGCTATAAGGTTGTAGTATTTGTGAAGAATTTCTTGGGCCAATAAAGAAAGAGAGAAACCGTTTTCTCCTAATTTTCTAGTGAAGACATAGAGGTAAAGGAAGATCGATTCTCTCTCAAATCATGAAAAACCATTTTTTATTTGATTGGATGACCTTCACCATTATTTTTTGAGCACCTCTCAAGCTACATGTTAATGGAGCAAAGATCTTGATTAAACAAAATGACCCGATCCAATTAAACATTCAAATTTGATTAATGTACTTAGACCCAATTTACTCGTATAATAATAATTTTATTTTAAGTATATATTGAATAATTGATGTACTTATACATCAAATACATTGTTCATTTAATGAATTTGAAAATTATTATTTTTCTCTTATATACATATTGTCACTATCAAATATATAACAATAAAATAATAATATCTTGTTTTTCTTAATATGGGTGCACCAATTATAGGAAAATGGTTATCATATCACTATTATATTGCATCATTATCTAAATCCATCCTACCATATCATAAATAGATACATGTATATCACAAACTATTCGATTGCATCATAATCTAACTTTATCCTACCTTATAACAAATTAATACATGTATATTTCAAATCCTCAAATAAACTATCGTTACGTTGAACATCTCATTGGATATGTACTATTACGTGATCTTAAATGAGATAGGCAATGATAATTTAAATTAAAAAAAATTACTAAAACAGAATTTAAAATAGAAAAACAGAATTGTTTAATTTATTTACTCATGCAATGAAATATATATATTTTTGATACAATCATTACCAAATAAAACATTTTTTTCTTTAATTTTTAACAAACCTACTTTTAATTTTAAATATTTATAAATTTATTAAACAGTCTTAAATATAAATCAGATACATCAATAATTTAATAAATTATTTTCTATTTAAAAAACAATTAACAATAAATAAAAATATATAACAAAAAAGAGAAATTTTAAATAAGAGTTAGTAGTATAAAATAAACGAAGTTAGAGACTGACATTACCTTTCTCTCCTTTATTTTGCACTTCTCTTCTCTTTTCTTCTCTGTCGGCTATTTATCTGCATCTACATCTCTTTCTGTGTTCCCATCAAACTCCCTTATTTCCCGTTCTCTTCAATTCCCTCTCTCATTCCTTCAATTTGATCTACAATTTTCATCTCCCACTTCATCTCCGTAAGCAATTCACCTTTTACTCAATTCAATTTCTTTGATCCGTTCAAAATCACGATTTTCGATTTGATTTTGATCCCAACGCGTTTTCAATTTTTTGTATTTGAGATTTTCAGGAAGCGCAATGACGGCGGAGGAGGTGTCGAACGTACACATCAAAGAGAATTCTGATAACGGCGCCGAGGATCGTCACAAGATCGTTACGGAGCATTGCAATGGCGATGTTCGCGGTAAAGAGATTTCCGAGAACGGCAATGACGGTGGAGAAGTTATTTCTGGTTCCGTTGATTCAGATCCGATCGTTACCGTTGACGGTAACGGTGTTGCGTTGGAGGATCACAAGGTGGAAGGTGAATCTCATATTAATGCTATTACTGAAGAACCTTGTGTAGTTTCTAATGGTTCTGTTGACGAAACGACGATAGTTGATGTCGTTGAACGGGAAGGAGAGATTCGTCATAACGGTACGGGATCTGATGTGAATAACGTTCATGTTACTGATACTGTTGCGGAGGTTGGTAACGATAGCGAAATCGGAAGTGTTCAAAACGGTGCCGTAGTAGAGGAGGAAAAATTGAAGGTTGAGGATCGTGAATTGGAGAGTGTTCAAAACGGTGCCGTAGTAGAGGAGGAAGAATTGAAGGTTGAGGATCAGGAATTGGAGAGTGTTCAAAACGGTGCCGTAGTAGAGGAGGAAGAATTGAAGGTTGAGGATCGGGAATTGGAGAGTGTTCAAAATGGTGCCGTTGTAGAAGAGGAAGAATTGAAGGTTAAGGATCGTGAATTGGAGAGTGTTCAAAACGGTGCCGTAGTAGAGGAGGAAGAATTGAAGGTTGAGGATCGGGAATTGGAGAGTGTTCAAAATGGTGCCGTTGTAGAAGAGGAAGAATTGAAGGTTAAGGATCGTGAATTGGAGAGTGTTCAAAACGGTGCCGTTGTAGAGGAGGAAGAATTGAAGGTTAAGGATCGTGAATTAGAGAGTGTTCAAAACGGTGCCGTTGCGGAGAATGAGATTGGCGTTGTTGCTGACGTGAACAAGAGTGATCGGGAATTGGAAGGTATAGCTGTTGAAAACGGTGCGGTGGATAGGGATGGAGAGGGAGAAGTTAAAGAGGTCGAGATTCCTGTTGTTGTTGAGGAAGTTGCTGTTGCTGCTTCTACAGAAGCTCTGGAGTCTGCTGATTCTGATGTGGTGGGAACAACCGAATCTAAAGACGGTGAAAAAGTGGAGAGTGGGAGTGTTGTTGGTGTAGATGTTTCGGGTGAGAAGAACAAAGTTCACGATACTGACTTGGAAAGTGAAGTTGGTGGTGAAGTGAGTGAATCAGCTGAGAAGAACGAAATTCATGACGCCGAGTTGAAAAATGTAGTTGATGCTGATGTGAGTGAATCAGCTGAGAAAAACGAAATCCATGATGCTGAGTTGGAAACTTCAGTGAATGCTGAAGTGACTGAATCAGCTGAGAAAAACGAAATACATGATGCTGAGTTGGAAACTTCAGTGAATGCTGAAGTGACTGAATCAGCTGAGAAAAACGAAATTCCTGACGTTGAATTGGAAGCTGTGGTTGAGGCAGAAGTGAGTGAGTCGGCTGAGAAGAACGAAATTCCTGATGTTGAATTGGAAAGTGTGGTTGATGCTGAAGTGAGCGAGTCAGCTGAGAAGAATGAAATTCCTGATATTGAATTGGAAACTGTGGTTGATGCTGAAGTGAGTGAATCAGATAAGAAGAACGAAATTCCTGATGTTGAATTAGAAACTGTGGTTGATGCTGAAGTTAGTGAATCAGACGAGAAGAACAAAATTCCTGATGTTGAATTGGAAACTGTGGTTGATGCTGAAGTGAGTGAATCAGTTGAGAAAAACGAAATTCCCGTCCACGAAAATGGAGCCAATGATAATACCAATGTGGAGGAATGTGCAGTTGAAGATAGTCAAAATGGTTTAGAGAAGCTATCGAATGAATCTGTCTCTGTTACTGTTGTTGAAAACGGTTTGGCCGAGGTTGAGGTGAGCACTGAGGGGAAAGCAATTCCAAGTGATATCAGTGAATTGGAAAGGTCTGTTGAGATATCAGAACCTCAAGTGGATCTTCAAGGTAAAGATTTAGCAGAATTAATCAAGTCAGGGACTTCTGATGATGCTGACGAAGGTGTAATTCAAAACCAACCTTCTGTTGATTTGAATAACATTGAAAAAGAGAGTGAGGCTGAAGCTGAACCTTCTGATAATGCTGTCAAGGGTGAAGGTGGATCTATTGAGGTGTCTGAGCCTGAGATGAAAAATGATGCAATTGGTAGTGAAGCTGAACCTTCAACTGAAACAGTGGAGAGTGAAGCTGAAGTTTCAAACAATGTGATGCAGAGTGAGGCTGATCCTTCTCTTCAGGTGCAAGATTTGAAAACTGATGTTGTGGGTAGTGTAGCTGAACCTTCAGTTGAAGCTGAAACTTCCACTGAAGAGAGCAAACAGACCAATGAAGATTTGAAAACATCCCAAGAAGCATCTGCCACTAAACCTTCAGTTGAAGCTGAACCTTCAGCTGAAGAGAGCAAACAGACCAATGAAGATTTGAAAACATCCCAAGAAGCATCTGCCACGGATGCTTTGGATGCTCAGAATATGGTCACTGAGGTGGTGAGAAAGCCCTTCTATTGGTTGATCCGGGTTCCCAGATATGATGATGATGAAAATATAAAAGAGCAGATTCAACATGCTCTTCAACAAGTGGAAGAGAAGACTAAAATCCGTGATGAAATTCGAGCTGAAAGCCAGACTAAAAAGGTAAGCAAATATGCATAACAGAACATATTAGAATGTTATGTTTGATTAACAAAATAGAAAAGAACAGTCTATGATTTTAGATAATTATTTTGAATGATAATTCAATCAGGCCAGTTGTAAAGAGTATGGGCAAGAATTTAGAGCAGCAGTACAAGAAGAGAGAGCTGCTAGAGATTTGCTCAAATCCAAACGGCAGGAGATGGATTCAGTTCAATCCACCATGAATAGATTAAATAATGCAATTTCTGTAGGGGATATCGATAGCAAGGTATGCATTCATTTTGTTATTCCTGAGATATTTACCAGGATTTGATTCTTATGTCTGTTTTGTTGTGTTAACTTCTCTAGATTTATAATTTGGTTTCAGATTAGAAACATGGAACACATGATTCAGCATGAAACTCTGCCTCTAAAAGAAGAAAAGCAATTGATACGCCAAATTAAACAATTGAAGCAGAGTCGCGGCGAGCTGTCTACTATTATAGCAAAACAGGATCAATCACAATCTCTTGACGAAAAAGACAATATTGAAGAGCAGTCTAAGGTACTAGAGTCAGGTTTCTTTTCATTATATATTTTCTGAATTAACTGCCGCTATCTTTTTATCAGCTAGCTGAATTCCATTGTCTTGATTTCAATATTTTTCAGCAATTACAACTCTTGAGGAAGGATTTAGATGTGCTTAGAAATAATGTTCTGAAGGCAGAAGCAATAACTAAAGCAGCAAAGAAGAAATATGATGAAGAAAGTAATCAAGTGAGTGAGGTTCTGATTCGATTTAAGACTGCTGATGACGTTCGTCAAGAAGCTTTTGTCAAGCTACAGACTTTGAAAAGGAAATTACATGAGAAGGTTTGATCTTTTCTTTTTCCTGTCTATTACACTCCTTTTCGTTTTCAATACTTCTTCCCCTAGAAAAAAAATTGTTTATCTGAACAGAACAAAATTTACTCTTGGGTTGCTTTGGATTTCACATTTTGAAGCTTGAAAACTGCTTATTCACTAAGTTAGGAAGATTTATTTGATGCTATGTCAAATTTAGGGGTGATTGTGCATGAATTCCAATATTATGATTGTTTATAGAAATCTAGCTGCTCTATAAATATACGAATGAAATCAAAACTATGAAGTAATATCCCTTTTGTTTATCAGAACTGAACAAAATTTACTCGGGTTGTTTTGGATTTAATATTTTGAAGCTTTAAAACTGCTTACTAGCAATCTAGTTGTTTATAGAAATCTAGCTTCTCAGTAAATATACAAAAGAAATCAAAACCTTGAAGTAATAATTGATCATTGAGAAGCTAGTGCAAAAGGAATATGTTCCTTTGTGGTTTGCTTGTGCCATTAAATTGCACAACAAATGCCACACACCTTTGTGGATTAAAGAATTTGATCTTTAGGAGTTAGGCTGTGTTGGTGGTAATATGAATATCTCATTTTCAGGACTACTGTCTGGAGACTAGTGTTAGTAGGCAGGCATACACATCACCTCAACCTTTTTTTCCCTCTATTTTTTTATAACTTTTCCTAAAATTTTATATGCTGAACTCGGTTGTCTGCTGGATGATGTTTTCTTAGTGATACAACTTTTTCTGTTATGGAAGTAAAATATTTAGACATGTTCTATAAAAATATACTATGTTAATAGCAAATACTGAGCTTAGTTTTGTTCACTCTTCTGCAGAGCAAATATTTTTGGGAATACAAAAATGCTTCAATTAAAGCACAAGAACTAGCAGCACAAGGGAAGAAAGAGGAGGTGCAAAGCTTATGTATTGATGAGGTGATCCTTTTTACACTTGAAACAAGTAGAGATATTATCTTTTCGTTACTGCACTGCACTGTATTATATTAGGAAAATAAACTTGAATTTTGCACTTACCTATTCAGGCTGAGCGAATACATGAGATGTGGAAGAATGATGAGTTCAGAAGGAACTATCTCCGGTGCAACACCAGGAGTACACTGAGGAGACTGCAAACTTACGATGGCCGAATGCTTGGTCCTGATGAAGAGCCACCAGTGATTCCTAATAACTTCATTGAAAGGGCTTCCAAAAATGATTCTTTGGTCTCGCGATCAATTCCTGAACAACAAATGAAATCAATACCAACAGAATCTGTTACTGTTAATGCAAAGGATGAACCTGCTGCCAAGGTTGTGGTACAAAAACCTGAAATAAGTCAGACAACTAGTGCTAAAAAGCCCGCAAAACCTGCTCCTTCAGAGAAGAAGTCAGCAGTTCCAGTTCGTCGTTGGGGGGACGAGTCTGATGAAGATAAGGAACCTAAGGAACCTGTGAGAACAAAGGAGGAAGAGGAGCGAATCTTAAAGGCTGAAAAGGCAAGGAAGGAGGAAGAAGAAACAAAGCTGAAAGAAATGAAAAGGCTAGAGGAAATTGAGAAAGCTAAGGAGGCACTCCAAAGGAAAAAGCGCAATGCAGAGAAGGCCCAACAAAGGGCTCTCTTTAAGGCCCAAAAAGAAGCTGAGCAAAAAGAGAAGGTACTAGTATTATGATTTTGATTGTTTCTAAAATCACAAGTTTAATAACTAACTACTGCACCACCATATAAATGTTTTGCACATGCATCTTAATCATATCACTTAATGTCATGTGTAAGTTTTACACATGCATCTTAATCATATCACTTAATGTCACGGTAAATTAACTAATTTCTTTAGCATTTTCACAAATACCTATTTGATAAAATGTGATTGAATTTTTTTATACGCAAGTGCATTATTATTTCAGCTGTATAATATAAACATGCATATTGGTGCAGGAAAGGGAGAAAAGAGCAAGGAAGAAGGGAAAGAAAAAAGCAGTTTCTACTGAAGATGCTGTGGAGAAAATAGAACAAGAGTCTGCAGCTTCTCCTAGCACTGAAACTCTGACAAGAACTCTAGAAGAATCTGATCAGAGTGAGAAACCAGTTGAGGTAACAAAAAGGTCAGTAAAACCATCTCAATTCATAAAGCAGAACAAGGTGAAATCTCTACCTATGTCTATCCGCAACCGAGGAAAGAGACGAATTCAACCATGGATGTGGGTTGTAATTGCAGTTCTGGTTATTGCTGCCTTGTTTTATATTGGCAATAACAGCTCCTTGAGATCCTCGTTTCAAAGCTTTGGTTTCTGAGGAAACTCCAGAGTTTAAAAACTTGCTTCGATGCTAAGCAATGATTAGGTGTTTGCCTTGGGGGATGATACCCTTATATATTTATTGCATATATACATACAGAAGCAATTCTTTTGGTGCCTTTACAATTTTTTGCTTCTAGTTTTTGGTCTTTAGTCATTAGTATTATTATTTTCTTCAAACCAATATTTGTTACTTTCTGATGTGATGCGATTTTAACTGGTTGATTGCTTCTGCGACCAATTATTATGGTAATAAATTATTGTGATTGTGGGTTTTTTATATTCGATGTTGTTTATTATATTTATTTTTCATTTCTATCGTGGCCACTTCTTACGATTGAGGATAGAATAGAAGAAGCTAATGCGTATTTATGCTTTTCTTTTTTCCTTTAAGATTGGATACTATGAAACGCATAACTCGTAGAGGTTCATTTTTGGGAGAGAAATTTTATTTATATAGCACAGACAAAGCTTACATAAGGATCAGGATAGATTAGGTTGCCAACATGGGTTTATGCCTTGACTTATTAACTTAAATAAAGTTAGGGTTAGTTTATAGTGTTACTTATCCGTAAGTTAAACATATGATTTTCTAAACAAGTGAAAAAAGTGGGTTTTTATTTATTAAGGGACATTTTAAGTAAATCACCTGGTTTGTAGAGTTATTGCGACTAAGTATAGAGTATAATTTTCTGTTGCCCACTTGCCCCTATGATATGGACTTATAAAGAGTAAAATAAGAGAATTTGTTATGTCACTATATAGGGGAAAAAGACTCTCTAAAATCGAAAATGCTCCTCGGAAATTTTTGAGACGAACCTTACATTTATCAATTCTGGTAAAATTTTGTTACACTCTTGTTTAATGTAAGAAACATGATAGAAATATAATATAAACATTTCTGGTTTATTCTGAGAAATTAAAAGCTTAAAACAACAAGGTATATGGAATATTGATCACGTTCATTTCAAAAGTGTGACCAAAATACTCTATAAAAACTCACATTCTCAATAGTATTTTTCACTCAAAATCAACATTCTTGTAGTGCATTATATCAAAAGTAACTAGAGGAAATTGAATTTAAGGTAAAGCTTACTCTTTCCAATCTACATTAATCAGTTCTTTTTGTGAAAAAAATGTCACGTTAATACCAAAAGTATATTTCTAGTTTACAGATGAACTTAATCGGAAATGTACTTCCAGTTCCTGTAACAACTATTTTCAGCAACTTCATTTTCTTATTTGTCTAGGATATTTCTTAGTTTAATCTGTTTTTACATATTAGGTATGGTGCATCCAGGTAATTGTCTCAAAACTATTGTGTCTCAAAGTGTTTCGCCTAATGTGTCTCAAGGTGTCTCGTCTATTCTTTCTTAAGATGTGTTCTCCTATTGTATCTCAAAGTGTTTCGCCTATTGCTGTTTCGCCTATTATTATCAAGGCGGTCGATGTACGGAAGCATTTTACAAATGAACAAGAATATGAATCTCGAGATGTCATGATGCAGTGGATTTGTACGGAGGCCATCAAACAAGGCTTTGGTGTTGTGATAGGAAGGTTCGTTAGTGATTCAGATAGACGATCTGCATTTGTGACATTGACATGCGAAAGAAGTCGGATATATAGACAACCTATCAAGAATTTCAAAAGAGATGATATTGGTTCAAGAAAATGTCAGTGTCCATTTAGGCTACCTGGGTATCGGTTGGCAAATAATAATTGAAAGTTCAATGTCATAAGTGGTTTACATAATCATAATTTAAGTACAAAGTTAATCGGTCATCCAAGTGCATGTCGCCTCTTGGCGGAAGAGAAGGAATGTGTGTTTGACATGACATTAAATTTAGTCGCTCCAAAAAACATACTTGACACGTTGAAATGTAAAAGACCAGATAATATTTTAAACATCAGGCAAGTTTACAATCGACGCTACCAAGCAAGAGTTGAGGATCCATAGAGATTTGTACACACGGGTGTAAGAGGATAAGAATAAGTTTGAAGAAATCTATAATGCTCTTGTACCATCTATGAAAGCATTTGCACCTGAGAACAAATGAATGTGTTTCTCTAAGATGGATCATCTCATTGCAAGTGCGTATGAGAGGGTGTGTATTAATCTTATAAGATACGATTTCTCTAAAACTTTTTTCTCATTGCGCACTGTTCCAACATCTAATTTCACTAATTGTATCGTTTGTGTAGGGTGGATTTCAAATCCCCGACATTTTGTTCAAGTGTATTTAAAACCGGGATGGTCTATATCATCTATATTATCAGAGTGGGCGAATAATTATACAGACCAATCTGAGACTTGGCCGGACTAGTTCATTGAAAGGATGCAAGAGTACACCAAGTTGAAGAATATTGAAATAGCAAAAAACAAGGAAAAATCGAAGGGTGTACCACCTGTGGATTTATCGGGAGACAATTACTTCAGATCTTTTAAATAGTTAAATATGACTTTGATGTATATGTCTTTTTGTTAATGAATTATGACATGTTCTTATTTTTTTAGTTATGAAATCTATTATTATCTTTTTATGCAATATGCTCTTTCTGTTATTTTTCTGTTTCTGGTTTTTAGTACCAGGGATTTTATCGGAAATGTATTTCCGGTTTTTAAGTTATGGTGTAATCGAAAATACATTTTCGATTTATATTCTATCAGCAGATAGGATATGTGTGGTCTATAACATCCTCAAACTACTATATAAGAAACTCATCCCTCTCCCTCATGTTATCTCATGTCTAAATACTAAAACAAAAAATAAATATCGTTTGGCATGTTGGAAAGATTCACTACGTGGATTCCATATGTATTGCTTACTTTATGTAATTTTATGTTTTGTTTGGGAATCTTAATGTAATGTGTAAGTGCTGCTTTCATGCATTCTGTAATGAAAAATACCGAAAATACACTTTCGGTTATAAATCAGAAATATATTTCCGATTTTGGTTATTTTTAATTCAATATTAGTGCGTCCCAGAAATACATTTCTGATTCCTGAGAAATTTTTTGAAAATTCACGTTGGTGCCTAAGAAACACATAGGGTGCATTAAGAAATTCTCTAAAATAAAAGGTCGTGTTAAAGAGTTACTTCCATCCCTTCAGGTTTTCTTAAAAAGCACACACATTCCAATATGAGAAAGAGAAGTACTTTTACTACGAAATTTCTTTTTCCACCCTTACAGATTCTTAGCCACCTCTGGAGAAATTCCTATTTTATCCTAGAATTCGAAAATTTATCTCCGAACGCACCATATTTCATTTTCCTGGAGTGATTTCGAAGATGCATTTCCGAAGTTACGAAAAATACTTTTTTTGGGATGAATTCAGAGATGTATTTCTGAATACACCTAATGAACTATTTCAGAAGTACATTTCCAAAAGAAACACTGACTGATATAAAAAATAGAAACATCGAAACATTGAGACACCAAAAACAGAAACCTTGAAACATAGATATAACATATATGATGAAACATTGATGGTGTTTGAAAAAATTTACCGTTTTTTTGAAAAACATCATGTTGTATCACATTTTTAGCAAAACCTTAAAAATTCGGTAGTTTAAAAGTATCGATTTTTTTTTAAAAAAATATCCTGCAATTATCAGATTTTTAAAGGATTTGCAAAAAAAAATAGTAGTGTAAATTCAAAGATTGAGATTTTGTCGATAGTTTTGTACGACTGTGATTGCATCAACCATTTTGCGTGATTCAGAATGAATCTAAACTTGTATAAATATGGATCATGTGTTGTTAAGAAAAATATCTTACAATACCTCACTATTTGCTTAAGGCATAAATGTACTTCGATAGGGCAAAACCTCCAGTTAAGTTTGGTCTTCCGAAGGACACCACATGTCTCGCTCTTCTAGGATCAAAACTAAATAATATGTTATCCAACTTCGAGAACAGAAAGATGAGTAAGATCATTTTTTTTGCACAATGAATTGATACTGGTGGAATGGTGAAATACGTTCATTTTGAGTTGAAGAGTGATGAAGATTTGAAGGTTATATGGAGAACATATCATAATAGGCTAACTATGGGATCGATTGAGTTTGATGCGATAATTTTTAGTTTTGTTGACTACATAATCAAGATGTTGAAACATTCAGAATCATCTCGTAGGGTTTAAGTTTTATTATTTATTATTATTTTATTAAGTTATGTAATCGTCTGTCTAAAATTATGTTAATCGTCAATGTGTTATGCTATTTGTCAAATGTTAAGTTATGTTCATCTTTCAATAATGGAAGTGACAAAATGTTGTTCAACACTCCACAAGAACATAGGAAAATCATGAAATTTCATAAATAAAAAACAAATTAATAAGTAACAAAAATAATTCATACTTGAAATAGACACATATAACTGACAAGCTGTCTAGTCTCTAAGACAGTTTCCTCTCCAAGTGCATCATATAAAATAGTCAGTGCAGCACACCCCATACAAATATGACATGGGAAGGCTACTAAACAGCCATATGTACTTCATATTAATATATACACAAGACTTGTTTGCTAAGATAGTGCATCCTACAAGTTGTAGCATGTATACACTAGCAGCTGCTTCATACATAGACTAACACACAAGGTTGTCATACCTATCTCAGAGCCAAGATAGACGAACGTGAGCACTCTGTTAACCCTAAAATCCTTTATGACCTACTCCTCAGTAATTCCTAAGTCACATATGGCATTAATACATATTAGCTAATGATAGGAGTGATGAAGAAGCTATCTGTAAAGGGAAGATGGAATAGAGAGGAGACATCATCCAAGGTACTCGTCATTTCACCAAATGGATTAAGGAAGGAAGATATCTTCTTATGTCGTTGCTTAACAAAGGTTTTCAATAGCATGCCATTGAACATCGCTAGCGAATAATCCACCATTGAAAGGAGACATACTCTTCGACAATCATCTTGAGCTCATATGGCAACGAGGCATCTAAGAACTTTTTCAAGTTCTTCAACGACAATCGATCTTGTAACAAACCAAGTAAAAGTATCAGTTATTTTCAACACATCAATAATAAATAAAGTCAAGTTCAATATATATACATATCTCTCTGTGCCATAATCTTAGTGCCACATGAATGACATATACAATGAGCACGAAATAGTCATTGGGCCCTCAAGAAAAACCCTTTGTCTGTGGGCACAAACAAATCTATCAAAGCCAAAGCAGTAACCTTTTCCTCAACTGGAGGAGTAACCTCCAAATCATCCATAACAGGTGGAGTAACCTCCATATTACCCGCAACAGGCACCTTAATAGTTGTATATAGAATAACCTTTATATTAGTCAAAGCCTCCGTCTCAGAATGATGGGGCACTTCTGTCTCGACCATCATTTGTCTATCATTCTCATCTGATGCCTAGACATCCTCAGCAACTTGCTCGTCGTTAGGATCTCTAGTCCATACATAATAACATGTCTAAATCATATATGTTGGATACAGTGAGATGCACGAAACTGCTCGACCGCCATCCGCCTCCTGTGAGAATCGAACGGGGTTACTCTTTCCTTTCAGATATGCGAGTCCTTGACGTTATCTCCCCTAGTCAAAGCTCTCGCAGCAGCAGCTGCAACTATTAAGTTCCCTAGAAGCAATCATATCATATGATCCCCTTGTCCTAACTGCAAAAAAAAAATGATGTAATTTAAATTGCCAGATTTTTTTAAACATCTGAAAAACTTCATGCTTTTCTCGGATTTTTTGAAATTTCTAGTTAACTAAATAACAAATGCCCACTACCGATTTTTTCAAAACCACTAGTATAAACTCATATATTTTTATCGGGTTTTTAAAAAATCTCAATAAAAACATGCATTTTTACCAGGCGAAAAAGAATGCAAAAGGAGACGTGGAGAGATACAAAGCAAGATTAAAAATGACACAAGAAGATCCTATGGAAATATGTGTTGACAATAAATCAACACTTACTTTGACAAAGAATCATGTCTTTCATGAAAGAAGTAAGCTTATTACTCCCGTTACCACTTCATAAGAATGCAACGAGAAGAAGGAGGTGAAGTTGAAGTATGTAATGTCTCAAGATCGAGTCGCCGATATTTTCACCAAGCCACTCAAATTAGAAACTTTTGTGAAGCTAAGGAGTATGCTTGGAGTCACAAATCAAGTTTAAGGGGGTGTTGAAATATAAACTTGATTTGGGCCTAACTTTATTATTTGGTTATTTGGGCTTAGTTATTTTGGACTTAAGTAATTTTGGATAATGTTTCTAGAAAATTCTTGTAATGCTTGGAGTGTCTAGATATTTCTTATGATTGTAATATTTTCTAGAATACTCTTTGGATCTCTAGAGTTGAGAACTCTCTAGAATTAGTGTGTTTAGAGTTCTCCTTATAGTACTATAAATAGATATGTAATCTCACACATTTGCATCAAACAAAAATACAAAGTTCTCTCCTCCATAAATAATTCTCTTACTTATCAAATTTCTATCCAAACCTCTAATATTTCCACATCTTTTCCTAAACATAAAATACCTTATATCCGACACATGTAACTTTCATTTGTCTAAACCTACTTATATATTTGTCAATTGTTTCATTACGGTTTATTTGATTTTTTGAAAACATCTAAAAGATAACCTTGGATTGTACTCTAAAAAATTGTTCATGAAAATGAGTTTTGAAATGTTCTTAATTCAAAATTGAATTTCATGGTAATATATATAGTAAACCATGTGAAAGTATCTAGTCAAAGAACTAGAAAAATATTTATTTTTAATATTCATCATTAATCAAATCTCCACAAATATCATTTTCTTTCTAAGGGTGACCATTCCCTCGGGGACACTTGATCTAACAAATAGTTATTTTATTTTGATTTTGCAAGCATATTATCATTTAATTAGATAGTTCCCCTCATTTTAAAACTAATCGTACATTTAATTAGATAGTTCCCCTCATTTTAAAACTAATCTTACTCGTAGGGGTGATTCAATCTAACATGTAGTTCTCCCTAACTTATGCAACTAGATGCACTCAGGCAATTACTCACGCTAAAGACTTTACATAATTATAACTATTGTAATATACTTAATTAATCATTTTCTAGGAAGGGAATTGTGGCGATTCGAGTTCAAACTCAGGATTCACATAAATTATCCTCACAGACAAACCACTAGGTTGTAACAATGATGACTAATATCTTTGTTTAGTTATATTATCTATTTATAAATTATGAGTTTGAATTGATAGTTGTAAAATCAATTAATAAAGATAACTAAATTTTAATTGAATAATTAATTATTTATTTAATAAACTAATATGATGTCAATATGAGTAGATGGAAAAAGGGTCCATTTTAGAATAATAAATAGACTATAATCCTAATATACCGAACACATAACATATTATATTGTCTCTTCTTCTAGTCCAAGGGAGCATAAAACATGTGGAGGTCAAATTAAATAAGAACGACAAATCAACGAGTAATAGTTACTCGGATTTCTCTCTTTAAAGCCATTGCGCCCCTCCTTTGGATTTGTATTTTCATATAATGTTTTGGAATGAATTTTAAAATAATTTGCTTTTTCTTTCAAATAAGAAAACGATCTATTGATGAACTTATTTAATTTTTTAAGAAAGGAAATTGTTTTTTTTTCTTAATAAATTACTAATATATTAAATAAAAATAAAAGAGTACAAAATACTGAGAGGACAAAATCTAACTAAGTCAAATTATATCAAAAGTAATCAGTATTTCAAATAAAATACAACTATTACAACAATGGTTTAAAAGAAGAAATAAAAACACACATAATGCATACATTACCTAGCGAGTTTGAGTACAAAAACGAAATCACATAACAAAAAAAAAAAGAGTTGTGTGGGTCTTCATAATCTTTAAGAAATGGTGAATAAATCGACCGCTAACACGAGCCAACTCACGTACCAAATACTCTCTACAATAAATCACATCAAGCATAAAAGCTCTTTCAAATTAAATAAACTCAGATCACAGCGGGCTATAACAAAGTATAGCATGACGGGGACAAGGTTATGAAATGGAACAAAATCGTTGTTGTTGTAGCGTTAACCCAAATGCTTTGATAATTGCAGATCTTAACAAACGTGAAATAAATCAGAAATAAAAAGCAAGGCACACCACCACCAACCACGAAATCAAAACCAGAATCGATGAACAATTCAAATCCAAAATTTCAATCAATGAAACCAAAATTTTTTTTTACGCAACTTCGAATCTAACGCTAGTCGAACTGTCTGTAGCGAACGATTACTAGAACCAAACAGCTGGAAATAGAGGGACCAATCTGTCGAAACAAAGTGGAGTTTCTAAGGACCAACAATGCAACCTAGAGAGGATGATGTCGAACTGCAAATTTAGAGACCTACCATCGACGAACTCAGACCAATCACCATGTTTACTGTGAAATTTGGTAAACAAGCACTAGTCTTCTGAATTCTAAAGATTCTGGTTGCTTACATGATCTACTAGATTGATTCTAGAAAAATAGTATATATTTGGTTTTCTGAGTTTTCTGGATGTCAATCTCTTCGATAGAGATTGTTACTTCGGAAGTAGTAATAAAAAGATTTAAAGTAAAAACTGGAAAGTAAAGCAATTTCGATTTAAAGTTAAAGGAATATAAAGACATTCAATTGAAAAGGAATAACATTGGATATAAAATTGGTGTTTCATATGTATATTCTCAGCAACTCGTTTCTTGAACACTTGGTACTTTGAGTTATTTTGAGTAATTTGTACAAAGAAGTGAACACACAAAATTCTAACATAAAAACTCCTATATATAATAATTCGAAACTAATTGTAACGAACAATCTTCTTCTTAGAGGATGACACGTCCTTGTTTACATGTATCTATCCTTTCGCAGACTTCCACATATCTCTTTTTCAAAGATTAGATAAGCACTAAAATCAGTTATAACCTTATTTGAATATCTGTCAAACCCGCCTCGAGTATCTTCAGAGAAATTGCTAAGTTATTTGCCTTGCATTGCTTCATTTGTGTAGACTTGGTCGGACATGTGTCTTCTATCACTTTATATCGAAATTAGCTCTTACCATCCCAACATTTGTCTTTTGAATTCTCCTTGAACCTCTATTCGTTGTAGCGTCGAAATTACAGCTAACAAATTGTCCTCCAAAAATGTCTTTTCGATAACTTTAGAAAAATGACATTTTTTGAAAGACTTTTTCGACGCTAATGCCAACATTATCGTGACGTCATGGTCATAATGACCACTTTCCCAAACGCATCATCAATATGTGCGTATCTGCTAATGATTATTACTCCTATAAACCAGGAGTAAGATGATAACTAGTGCAACCACTTTTTCTTCCTGTCAGAAAGCTCCACGTGCCCTACTCACTTTGCATTCATTATTCAAATGTAATATGAATCAACTTGTTGTCTTTCTATAAATACCAATAACGTTCAACATTAAAAACTTTTACACTCCAAGCTTTTCTTAAACCGAAACATTTCTCCAATACTTCTTCTTCAACCTTCAACAATCTTCAAGCTATCAACCTCAAAACTTAACAATGACGCCTAAAACAACAAAAGCTTCCAAGAAACAACAACAATAAGATGCTTCTCAGTCCATTGTCCAAATTGCTGAACCCACACAAATAGGGAACCAAGAATATGTCCTAGATCCTCCCCTTCTTGAAGAGAAGACAAAAATTTATGAATCTTAGATACTTATACCCTTTATCATTTCTGGTGAAACACACGCATTCATGGGTCATTTTCCTGACCCTGATGCATATGCCACAACTATTTCAGAGTTTTTTTTCCTATTTATCATTGTTCTAGGCCCTTGGCTAGCAAGAAAAAACTTGATGACAAAGGTAAACACATTCCTGTAATCACACCTTCGTCTTAAAAGGACCAAGTGAAGTCTTCGACTCACGCTTTGGTTGTCCATGAATCTATTAGTCTGGATTACATGATCAATGCTCTTAGAGTATTTTGAGCTACTCCTTTAGTGAAAGACCCTGAGGCATATTATGCTTGGTTAGCTAAGATTGAAAAGAAGAAATCTCAATTTTGGAAAGATCTGGAGATTTATGACTTAGTGATGCTGTCGAAATCTGGCCTAGAGTATAGCCAAAATATGGTAGTGGCATCACTCTATTTCTGGTATGCTTCCCACAACACTTTCCATTTCCCTTGTGGAATGATGACCCTAACCTTTTTGATGTTGCTGCCATTGTTGGGCTTAGAGAAACTTGGGAGAGTTTCAATCCGATGAAAATGGACGAAGATACTATCAATTTTGGCAAGGCTACCTTCACCTAATATACTATTGATCACCACATTCAAGATGAAGAAGAGGTCTCAGACAAAGAGAATATCGTTTTCCTTGCCTTATGGCTATCTTGTTGTGTATTTTGCTCGAGATCTCTTCAAGTGGCGAAGAGATTTCTCATCATGGCTAACCAACTGAATGTTGGGCACAATTTATGCCTTATCCAAATGATCCTGGTTCACTCTATGAATCCCTTGGAGAAGCTACTGACTATTTGATGCACTATCAATTAGGGGACATCATTCTTTTCGCATAACCCTTCTGACTGCTTCAACTATGGTTGAATGCCACATTCAAACCATCACTCCCAACATAACACCATTAATGAGGAAGATGATATTATAAAGAACAAGACTATCGAAGGAAGGATATTAGCTCTCTTAATTCCTTATGACGGAGGAGTGTGTATACCAAACGCATTTACTTCGTTTATGATGATGTTTGTTAAGCGTTGTCGTAATTGGAAAAATAAAGAGTCGCCACCATTATTTTTTGTTCTAAGGACGGGAGAATAATGAGTAACCCTAACTGTTAGAGATTCTAAGTTCGCGAGTTGGTTAGACGAAGGAAAAGTGTTAGACACCCTTCATCTCCCTTGTTTTCAAGGGACTCCTTTTTTAAGTCTAAAGGGTAAATTGGAAATTTTCTATTTAACATTTACTGTTTCCATATGTTTGAGACAATGTTTAAATTTTAGTTGAGGGACTCGCCTTGGTTTTAACCGCGTGCGTACGTATCTCCTTGTGAAGAATCAGAGTCCAAATTCGTAGTTCGTATTGTTTGGTTAGTTTTTTTTTATAGAATTACATAGAATTGCCTTCGAGTTATCCTTGAACATTGTATGAGTTTTGTAAAAGAGTGATCGTAGACGCAATTCACATTTAATTTTGATAGCAATTCCCCTTGATTCTTTTTCGAAAATATATTAATTTTTGTTAAGTTAGTAGAAAAAATGATAATTTAACGGGTTATCTATTTTAATATTTAATTTGGTGGATTGAAGAATAGTTGATCTTCATTAGAATTAAATCACGCTAGACGAAGAAATTTATTTAATTTGTTTGACGAATTTTAAATGTATTTTATTTGAATAATTAATTAATAAACATTAAGTCGACCAATCGATTATTCGAGAAAGTACATCCATTATATTATTTATAAAAAAGTTGAAATTAATTTAATTTTAAAAAAAAGTATATGTTTTTATGTACAAGATTAGTGATTTGTGTATAAATTTAATTTTTCCTAATTAAATAAAATAAATACTTTTTGTGCTTTCGTATATTATTTTTATTATTCTAACTAATATAAATGACATTTTTTAGTAACTAAAATAAATATTCTAGAATTTAAAACAAACTTAAATAACCAAAAGAAAGAAAATGTAAAGTATGGGGTACAGTTTATAGAAAATGGTATAAATAATAAATCAAGGTCCATAGAAATAAATCTTAATTTATACCCTTATTAAATAATGATAATAAATAAAATTAAATTAAAAAAAAAACATGACTGTATAGAAATATAAGGGACACTCCATTTTCTTTTTAAATTCAAATTTTAATCAATCAAGGATTAACACATGTCCTTTTTTTTATTAAAACAAAAAACTAAAATAAACTCATTTATAACATCATATTATAAAGAAAACAAACACAACTAAAACTAAACATAGATCAACACACAATACTCTTTTCGACTTAACATCAAAAAGTGAAGCAGAAAGAGTATCTGGCCGGAGGAGGTTTCACCGGCGTGATTTTGGTCGCGATCGGAGTTATTGGGCAGCGTGCAGATCCGTGCGTGATGCGGTGGCTCCGATAGGCGAGGCAGATGTGCAAACGGTGGGATTTCGTCGATTGTAGTGGTTGTCGAAATTGAGAACGGAGCGGTGTTCGCGGTTGCTGGAAGTTTAAGCTCAAACTCTTGAAATTTCGATATGAAACCTCAAGAACTCGTTGTGAATTAGAGCTTTAGTAAGAGTTGGATTACAGGGTTGCATAAATTTTTCTCAGTTCCGAATTCGGGTTTCAAAACAGGTGCCTCTAAACTCTGTGAATTCTTCTGCTTTGATCTTGATCTTACTGTTTCTGTTATGACTTTGGAAAGATTGTGATTGAGTTTGATTTCATTCAACTCTAATAAAGATTGTATTCGTTTTTTAATTAGATTTATTCAGAAAGTTTAGATTTTTATTACTTCTGATTTTGATTTGGAACTTAATTCTTTGGCAATAACGTGTGACCACCACTTTTCTTGGCCCTTTCTGATTTCTTGATTTAATTGGCTAAGGAAATATTCTAATCCTAAATAAAATCTAAAATAACTCTATACATACATGATTTATTATACAAAATAGATTAAATGACTAAACTTTACTAATTTAATGGAAGAATAAAATATAAATAATAAGAGTGTTTCTATCCTAATGAATAAAAATGAAGATTCTACTCAAAATATTAATTATGATCTAAAATTAATGTTAAAAGCCTAATAAAACTTATAAATAAACAGTCAATGTTTTCTAAATGCAAAAAGACTAAAATTCTAAAACTATTTAAGAGAATAAAATTTTAAAGCAAAAAATATAATGATTATTAAAATCTAGTTTTTCTACTTCTAAAATTACTAACAGTAAAAATTTAAGCCTAATAATATTAAAGTAAAAATGAATAAAATTAGAGAAAAATTAAAAAGAAATATCGGAGAAGTAAGAGGTGTGATTCAAACTCAAATTCTCCCACTCTTGCACTCCTTACTCACTTTATACCCCCACTAGACCAATATATCATTCGAGATAAAATAACATTACAAAACACTTGAAGGATATGACAAATTTGGGGTATGACAAGCGTTACCACTCCACTCCTTCCATGGCTCCTTTCGTCAATAGGATGTGTGGCCCCGAGTGGTTCACAAGAGAATTCACTACTCCTTCCATAGATCAAGAAGAAGAATCCATGGCTATTTTGGAAGCATTCATTACCCCTAAACCACTTGTCAACAGGCTAAGGCCTTCGAAGAGTCATTGTACCCTCGTTAGCTATCAACCCAATCTGGTTTCTCGATAATTTGGCTTAAATCAGATAAAACCTAAGCCACTTTTTGAGAAGAAGAAAGATTTATGCCTCCATAGCATGTTTTCTACTGAAGAAGGATATAAAAGGCACATGGCTCGATATGCTGAAAAAACCATGCTCACACCTATCTCCTTTCGACCATCCTTTTACTGCACGCAAGAGTTTGACACTTGGTGGAAGAATTACTACACTAATGAAATTTTTAATGTGTATGATTTTACTAGACATTTAACTCGTTCTTTTTCCTCGATACAAGATCACTTCAAGAAAGGTACGACCACTCATATCAAGGAGATTTGCGCATTCCAAAAGTAGTTTGAAACTGCGTATAGACCAGACAATCTTAGTCGAACCATCTGCGATGTAGCAATAACTTTGAAGGAAAATTTTACGAAAAAGATTTCCAATCTTAGCCTTGCTCCATGTATTAGACCTAAACACCAGTATGAGCTAGCTTTCAAGCTCGAACCCCCGAGATTCCCAAAATTGCCAAATGTTGACTTCAACTTGGCATTCGTACCTCCATTTCCAGAATGGCTCGTATGTGGGTCTCACCTGAAGGTTCTACAACAAGATTTGCAAAACCTGCTAAACGAGTGGTTCCGACTAAGCATACGCTGGGTAGTTTCAAAGGTCACCTTCATGTCGATGTAGAGCTTGTTCGTATACTTTCTCTAATACATGAAGGTGTGGGATGGGCGAAACTATCGACTTGGTTCAATTAAAAGATCCCTTCAACTGCTTTTCTAACTTTGCTTTCTCTTATTTCTTTAGTAGTTGAACGAAGGCAAAGTGTCAAGGATAAAACGACTGCAAGAAAAGTTGTTGCTTCCTTGAAGGAACTCAAACAAAGTGAAGGGACCACCATTGCCAAGACTACCACAAAGGTACTTATTCGAATCATAAAGTATCATTACATGTCTATTCGAAATTTGTTAATGCCTTTTCTTTTTTAGACAAGTAAGAAACCACCTCATACTCCAAAGAAACGCAGACCAGCTCAACCACAAACCGTCCAAATTGAATCAGGGTCTGAAGACGTGTCTCCAGATTGTTCAAGACCTGCTCCCAAGAAAAAGAAATAAAAAACTTCCAACTCTCTCATCCAAATGAAGATCACCACCAAACTTCCACACGACAAAGCCGGCTGCGCAGAGGATAATAGATGTCGAAACACCAACAATAAACATTGTTGTTGATATTGTTGAAAGTGACAATTCTAGCCCTGGGCTATGAGACTTAAGGTATTTTACTTGATTTTATTTCTTTTTCTTCGTTTCACTTTGTTTTTTACTTGTACTAAACTCATTTCCTTTACTGGGTGACCTGGCTGGCACCGCATCTTCGAGCATAAAGTACGTCCCTGGGAGCACTGACTCTCGCTCCGTTCATCCTGTTTAAAATAAAGGGTTGAACAGTGAAGTAAATTCCTTTTTTTAAGTTCAACAACCAGTTCCTCCTCCAACTTCACCCAATTTAACTAATTCATCAGATATTGAAACTGAAAGTGATGAAGAAAGGCATATCATCATGGAAGTTCCAAACACCGAGGACCAAGACGAGGACCAACCCGATAATTCTTCACCATTAATCCTGCACCAAAACAAAGGCGAAACAAATGATGAAGATGTGTATATGACAAATGTCTGTGAGGAAACCCTAAGCGAAGAAGAACTTAATCACGACGAAGAACACCATGACGAAGGAGGGCCTCAGACTGAAAAAGCCCAAGCAAAGGATGCAAGTGATACCAACCAACCCTTTGGGTCAGTTAAGGATTTCAGGACCTCTTCGAATGTCGCTCCCACGACTCTTTCTCAAGAGGAGTTATATGACTTGAAAGCAACCAATCTCGCTGGATACCTCAAAGCCATGATGAGTGCAAGGGTAAGTTTGTATGATAAAGGTACCACTTCTTTGACTACCTCTGGGGGACGTTTCTCAAACCAAACCGTTGATCAACTTCTTCGCCAAATCAAGGAGAAAGTCTTTGATGTTGATCTAATTCAAGTGCTAGAGAGCAATATCAATGCCTGCCATGACATTAAAGAACTCTTGAAATAGGTTGATATATTAGATGTTCTGCAAGTAGTTGCGGATGATATAGTTGATATTGGGTTTCTCCTTGACGATATCTCCGTAGACTACTTCAAAAAGCAAGAAGTCTCAAACAATATCGCAGACAAAACGGGAACCCAAATGGTTGAATGGATCGTAACGACTTAGTTAGCTTCTAAAGTCAAAACATTGGAAAAATCTTTTTTCCAAATATGACGAAGAACTCAAGCTCTATGCAGACAACATCTCAACTTGGGAGAAGCAAATTAAACAATTTAAGAAGAACATTGAGAAGGAAAAGGATCGTCAGGACGAGATCCGCAAACTCGATCGCAAACAACTTGATGATGAAATCAAGGTAGGCGTCCAACATGTCGAAAAGGCCCAACAATTGGAGCCCGAGATTGAGGACTTGAAGAAAAACCAATTTGTGACCGAGCTTCGCTTGCTAATGTCTTCTTCAAAGTATAGGCCCATGAAGGCCTCTCTCCCAACTGATTTTAAAACCTGTTGAAATATGTTGTTCTTTGTTTTATGAATTTGAATACTTTGGGTATGTTTGTAACACATGACTAAGCCATTTTGGCGCATTTAATCTTACCATTTTAGCCTTTTAATTGCTTTTAAATTTATTTTGTTGATATTCCGACTTCTTGCAGTGTAGGCTAATATTTTTTCAAACATTTACCATTTACTTGTAGAAGTCTTTGATCTTCTGCTAGTTCTTCAATTTCATAAGCATTGTTTGAAAATGCTTGAATAACTTGGAACAAACCTTCCCAATTTAGGGACCATTTTCCCAAAGTTTTATCCTTTCAATCCATGTGTATGATCACTTTCCAAACTAAATCACCAATCAAAAAGATCTTGAGTTTAACCTTTTTATCATAGGCTTTCTATACTTTTTTCTTCTGCCTTCTTAATAATTCTAAGGATTTTAGTCTCTCTTCGTCTAGATCAACCAAATCATCTAACATCATATTCCAATATGATTCAGATGGAATTTCATACTGTCTTTGTATCTTGGTTGATTGTAGACATATTTCGACTGGTAATACCGCATCATGACCATATGTTAGTCGAAAGGTTGTAGTGTTGGTAGCCTCTTTAGGAGATGTTCTGCAAGCCCAAAGGATTTGATCAAGGGTCTTATGCCAATTCTTTGGATTCTTTCCCACATGTTTCTTTATTAAACCAATCACTACTTTACTTGATGCTTCGACCTGCCCATTTGCATGTGCATAATAAGGTGTGGATGTTAGTAGTTTAATTCCCACCTCTTTGGAAAATTCCTGCATCTTTCGACTAGTAAACCCTAACCCTTGATCAATTATTATCGTTTCAGGGATTCCAAACCTGTACATTATATTCCTTTGGATAAAATCAATTACTGCTTCTTGATCTACATTTGCCAAAGGAATGGCCTCGATCCATTTAGCGAAATAATCAATCTCTACTAAAGTGTAGCTTTGACCTTTTGAAGACGCTGGTCAAATTTCTCCAACCAGATCCAAAACCCATCCTCTAAAGGGCCAAGGCTTGATAATAGAGTGTAGTTCACTTACAAGAACATGTTGAGTACCTGCATGAACCTGACATTCTTGACAACTCTTAGTGAACATAATGCAATCTTTTAACATTGTTGGCCAATACATGCCTTGTTTGGAAAGTATCCATTTTCATCTTGTGTCCAACATGATGGGCTCCACATGCCTCACTATGGACATTCGAAAGAGCCAGACATGCCTCATTTTCACTAAGGCATTTGAGCAAAATTTCTTCAGCCGTCTTTTTGAACAGTTCGTTACCCATAAAAGTATAGCTTAAAGCGTGATACCTAGTTTTTTGTTCTGCAGATGTTATTGTATTATCTAGATAATCTACTATTGGCTTCCTACGATCTATTTTTATTAGGCTATCAATCGCAAAACCTTTGAAATTTTCCTCATTTGCATAACCCAACTTCGACATTTCTAGATCATATGGAGATAGTCTCGTTGCCATCATTCTCCCCCGAACTTCGATCAGGTCTTCTAACTTCTCCTTCGAAACCTTATATCCAGATGTTATTTGGGCCAACTCATTGGCCTCTTGATTTTTGAGTCGAGGAACATGTTTGATGTTCATGTACTCAAATTCTCACAGCAATTTGTTTGCTACAACGAAGTACGTAATTAAATTTTCCTTGACACATTTGTACTCCTTGGTTATTTGTTTAACCACCAATTCAGAGTCTCCTCTTATTTCGACTCTAGTTTCCCCCAATTCCAACAAGATCTCAAGGCTAGTTATCAAAGCCTCGTATTCAGCCTCATTGATCGAGCAATGGAGACCATCTATTTTGTACTTGAATTTTGTTGGAATTTTGTTAGGAGAAATAATCAAGACTCCAACTTCAGCACCATCCTTATGTGTTGAACCATCAAGGTATAATCTCCAGGGTTCAAGTCCCACCAAATTCTGGGGAACTTCGATCACATCATGATCAGTTATAAAATATGCAACCACTTTCCCTATCATAGCTTTTAAGGGCATGTAAGTCAAAGAATATTCACTCAAGGATAATGCCCATTTTCCAATTCTACTATGCAAGATAGGTTTTGAAAGCATATGTTTAATTATGTTAAAGTGAGACGAAACATAAACTGGTTTTATATAATGCTTCAATTGTGTACAAGAGAAATACAAGCATATGCATAGTTTTTTGACCATACTATATCTAGTTTATGCATCATTCGTGACACAACTAAGATAATAAACGGCTCTTTCGATGCCATTTTAATCTTCTTGAGCAAGCATGCTCCCTATAGTAACTTCAGATGCAGAAATGTACAGTCTCATACTCCTACTTCTACAAGGTGGTGAAACAATTATGGGGGGTGTACAAGGTAGGATTTAATTTTGTCAAAAGCTTCTTGCTACACTTGACCCCATTCAAAACTTCCTTATTTATTCGAAGAAGAGGAGAGAAGGTTTGAGTCTTGCCACTTAAGTTCGATATGAACCTCCTCAAGAAGTTGATCTTCCCTAGCAAATACTACAATTCCTTTTTTGTTGATGGCATTTTCACCTCCATGGTGGCTTTGGTCTTGTATTAGTTTATTTCTATTCCTTTCTTGTGGACCAAAAAGCCTAAGAAGTCCCCTGCCTGCACATAAAATGCACGTTTAAGGGGGTTCATTTTCAAACTGTGCCTCCTCATTCTTTCGAATGATTGTCGGAGGTGGTCTATATGACTCTTCCCTGATACAAAATTAATAACAATATCATCAATATAAATCTGCATAAAGGTTTCGATGAAGTCGTGGAAAATAGAGTTCATCACCCTTTGATAGGTTTCCCTAGCATTTTTAAACTGAAGGGCATGACTACTCATTCGTATGTTCCTAGGGCGCACCTGGACAACGAAATGTCGTTTTGGGCACAACTTTGTTGGCAATAAATATTTGATTATAACCAGAATAACTATCAAGTATACTAAGGTATTCGAAGCCTGCAGACGAATCTATCAACATTTCAGCCACTGGTATAATGTATTCATTCTTTGGGGTTGCAACATTCAAATCTCGGAAGTCAATGCAAACCCTTAAAGTTCCATTCTTTTTAATCACATGAACTATATTGGCAATCCATTCGACATACATGATGGTGTGTGTGAACTTACATCTGAGAAGCCTTTTGATCTCTTAGTTTATCTTCGACAAGATCTCCAGTGCAAAGCGCCTTGGAGTCTGCTTGATTGGCTTCTTCCCAGACTTGATGGGCAACTTCAGTTCTCCCAGTTCTCTGTTTAAACCAGGCATTTCATTGTAATCTCATGTGAAGCATTCCTTATACTCCTTCAGCAATTTGATCACTTCAACTTTGAGTTATGGATTAAGGTTGACACTTATTTAAGTTGGCCTTTTAACTTGTCTGTCTCCCAAGTCGATCTCTTCGAGGGGATCTTGTGTTAGCATTTTGATGTTAATTGTCGTTGGATCCTTTTCGAAACCCAAATGTTCGTCGTCATAGATAGTGTTGAGCC